TTATTATATTTTTTGGCATCCTTAATCTCATTAATATGGTATATAAGCCTATCAACTGGCTCAAGTTTTTTTATTTTCATAATAAGCTAACTATTAATAATGATATACTAAAAATATCAGACTGATTTATCAGTCCTCTCTTTTTATTCCTTCGCTTTATCTAAGAATTCTTTCTTGATCAGTATATGTCTAATAAATGGATATAAATCTGCTGTATAAGACACTTTAATAAGGCATATATTTTGCTTTTTGCAAATATCTGCTTCTTCTGATCACGCATTCTCTAGGTTTCTAAACTTTCGCTCTCCTGATAGTATAGATTGGAGACCCTGATATTTGAATGTAAGACGCAATTCTTTATTATATCTATCGAGTTGCATTCCATCCAAAAAATTTGGCCTGCATGATGGGAATTTTTTGCCTAACAGATTCTCAAAAATATATCGACAATTTCTTTCTCTAGTGTGGTAACATAGCAGACACCATTCGAAATTTTTTTATGATATATTTTAGTGGATACTCTCACTAATACGCACTATTTTCACAAGACTAAAGATACACATCATGACCATTTATTTGACTAGTTTTACCAAGACATTGGCTATCACATTTTTTTGCATATTGATGGGTTTTGGTTAATTTATCATTAGTAATTTGAATATAATAAACAAATTCAGTAAGATGGTATTTTTACATAAATCCATCAGGTGGATACTCAATTTTATCAGGTTCCTCAATTACTTGAAGTTCCTCATATTTAAAGGGTCTTTTTGGATTTCGCCTTATCAGATGGGCAGTTGATTCAATGGATTCACTCTCGAGATAATATAAGATTGGTTGCGATAGATTTTTTTTAACAACAACTCTTTTTATTCTATAGATACACAAGCTTCAATATGGATCAGTTGTTTTATGTTTATAATCTCCTTTCAACTTATCTGCTTTTGATAGATATCTAACTGCTATACTTTTTTGTAATTTTATCTTCTCATCTTTTCTGATTATATGCTTAGATTTTTTAGAAGGCTTTGATTCAACTTCTTTTAAAGTTATAGCATGAGCTGATAACATTCCAATAAGGCAAGTCTTATTATTATTCAGATAATCAATATACTTCTTGAGAATTCTCCTAAATATTCTTGATCACTTTCCATCAGTTAATCGTCCCTCTATAGCATATTGGACCTTATATGTTAATTGTACTATTATTTTCTTAAATGCTTTAATAAAAGCCAAATTCTCAAAACTATAAAGGTCGATAACATGTATAATGATATTATATTATTGGATTTCTCGTGAAAATGCATTTCAGAATGAAGCATTACCATCAGTCATCAATAATTCTGACTATGTAAGAGGATTAGAAGGATCCTCATATATTTCTTTAACCGCATTCCAGATTTCTAAGCTATTTCTCAATATTAATAAACATCCATTCTTAAAATATGTTGTTACATTTATGATTAGGAAACTACAAATGAATACCCTCCTACCATCCTGATCATGGGTATAGAGTAATATATTACATTGATGAATTTTATTCAGAATCTTAATTTTTGAAAAACTCACCTCAGCTTTACAAGGTAATGGGTGTTGATAAATTTGATAGCTATATTGATACTCTAACCATTTTGCAATGTTCCACAATTGTAAACTTTGAAACCCTTCATCTTGACATTTTTTTTGCAATTCCTTGGCATTCGAATAAAATCTAGGAATATTATAATACAGAAGTTTATATACTATGCGAAGCTCTTCATTAGAATCTATTATAATTTGTGATTGACTCATTCTCAGGTTACGATTATATAAAGCTCTTTAAATCAAATTAAAAATACTATGTTTACACTTTTATGTGATTCAGCATATTTACAGCTTTTAAATACAAATCAGAAACTTCGTAATGAGCTTTGAGATGAGATTTCTATTAATAAAAGTTATGAAAAAAAAATTTAATCTCTTGTAAAGGAATTTGAGCAATAATTTTATTGCAAATGTTAATAGAGGACTAAAGTGAATAGAAAATCATATTAGAGGTATTGATATACCTATGCAAAATTCTGCTAATGTTATAGATAAAATTAGAGTTCTGAATGAGTCAAGTTGAGTCGAGTTTAAAGATTAACTCTATTTGACTCATTTTTTTCAAGTTGAGTTGAGTCAAATTTATTTTATAAAATCTTTCAACTTGATTTAATTTGAGTTATATAAATTTTAAACTTGACTCAATTTAACTTAACTTGATTTTAATTCAACTCAATTTTGACTTGAATTTATTCAAGTTGAGTCAAGTTCAAATCAAGTTTTAAGTCAATTTTAAAAAATAAAATAAAAAAAAAATTAAAAACAAAAATGAAAAATTCAGGGAGGGGAAAGAGAATGGAAAAATAAATAAATTAAATTAAAAAAACAAAAACGAAAATGTAAAAAATGAAAAAAAATAATAAAAAAAAATTTAAAAAATATAATTAAAAAAAAATTAAAAATGAAAATGAAAAGTTCGGGAAAGAAGAGGGGAGGAAGGAAATAGAAAAAATAAATAAATTAAATTAAAAAAAAAAACAAAAATAAAAATACAAAAAATGAAATAAATAAATTAAATTAAAAAAAACAAAAACAAAAAATAAATAAATTAAATTAAAAAAAAAACAAAAACAAAAATGCAAAAAATTAAAATAATAATAAAATAAAAATTTAAAAAATAAAATACGCAAAAAATTAAAATAATAAAAAAAAATCAAAAACAAAAATGAAAAGTTCAGAGAGAGAGAGGGGGGGAGGGAGGGGGAACAATGATATACATTTTTGATGTCTTAGAGATTTGTTATCTTAGCTATATATTCTAGCTAATGTTTCGCAAAATCAGATCAGATCAGATTTTCATTTTTCAGGATCTGAATTTGATCTGAATCTGACAGATTGAATCTCAAATCTGGATCTAACGGATCGGTTTAAATCCAAATCTGATCTGATCTGAATTCAAAAGCTTTATTGAAAAAATGAATTTTTAGTTCTAAATAAGATCTGAAAATGTTTCTTTTCAATGAAAGGAATCTTTTCAGCTCTAAAAGAGTTCTGAAAAGTCATTTTTTTTTATTAAAAAGAACCTTTTCAGCTCTAAAAGAGTTTTGAAAAAGTCATTCCTTTTCATTAAAAGGAACCTTTTCAGCTCTAAAAGAGTTCTAAAAAGTCATTCCTTTTTAATAAAAGGAATTTTCAGTTCTAAAAGAGGTCTAAAAATTAGTTCCTTTTCAATGAAAGGAACTTTTCAGTTCTAAAGAGTCTGAAAATTCATTTCTTTTTAATGAAAGGAACTTTTCAGTTCTAAAGAGGCTGAAAATTTGTTTCTTTTCAATGAAAGGAACTTTTTGGCTTTAAAAAAGATTTGAAAATTCGTTCTTTTTCAATAAAAGAAACAAATTTTCAGATCTAAAAATATCTGAAAGTTCGTTTCTTTTCAATGAAAGGAACTTTTCAGCTCTAAAAGAGATCTAAAAATTGGTTTTTTTTAATGAAAAGAACTTTTTAGTTCTAAAAGAGATCCGAAGATTCATTCCTTTTCAATGAAAGGAAACAAATATTCAGCTCTAAAAAAGTCTGAAAATTTGTCCCTTTTCATTGAAAAGGAACTTTTCAGCTTTAAAAAAATTAAATTCAGATTCGACAGATCAGATCTAAATCTGAATCTGAATCTGACAGATCAGATCTGAATCTGAATCTGAATCTGAATCTGAATCTAATAGATCTGATCTGATCTGATCTGAATCTGAATTTGAATTAGATCTGAATCTGATTTATCAGATTCAAATTGGATTTAAATCAATCTGAATCTGTACGAAACACTAATCCTAGCTATATGTCCTAACCTGTCCCATATTATATTCCAAATGTCCTATTTATCTCATCTATGTTCCATCAGCATCCCATCAGTATCTCATCAATGTCTCATGACAACACTGGGGAGAGGGAGAGGGAAAAAAAAAAAAAATAAATAAATAAATTAAATTAAAAAACCAAAAATGAAAATGCAAAAAATGAAAAAAATAATAAAAAAAAAATTTAAAAATATAATTAAAAAAAAATTAAAAACGAAAATGAAAAGTTTAAGGAAAGGGAGGGGAGGGGGAAAAGGAATAAATAAAAAAATAATAAGAAAAGATCAAAAAGAAAGGGAAGGGAATATAAAAATTAAGAATCAATTTTGAGTCAACTTGAATCAACTCAAGTCAAGTTGAGTTTAAATTGAGTTGAGTTAAATATTTAACTTGACTTGAATTTGGCATGACTTGCAAATCATTTGAGTTAAAAAAACATAAACTCAATTTGATTTAAACTTGACTTAGCTTATCTGACTTGTAAGTTAACTTAACTCGTCTGGTACTTTAAATGGAATCAGAGGCTCATTAAATACTATTCAGGTTACTTTGCAAAACATTACAGCTGAGCGTGATCAATATCAGAACTTATTACATGATTTAATCCAGAGAGTAGATAATCTTAGGAATCAGTTTATTGATAGTGAAAATCAGAATTTATGGTTATAATGTTTATTAGATAAATTCTGAGTTCAGGTTAAAAGAACTATAAGAGAAAGAGACAATATTCAGTGAGAGCAGAATATGGCCATTCTGGCTTATAATAATGAGAAAAAAGAATCTTACCATTAGTATTTTTCATATCGGGATAAAAGTAGACGTATTAGTAAATTATTACAAGAATATTTTGCTTTCTAATTATTGATTCAGTATAAAAATACTCAAATTGTTAAGCATAGGAGAACTGCGTATAGGTAGATTTTAAGATATAATAATGATATAAAGAGATAGAGAAGAACATATGTAGATTTGCAAAATCGACATTTGAAATGAAAGGAACATTATAGGAACTCACAAAATCAGATACAGGCTTAGAACTAGAATATTTTTAATTTACAGCAACAAATATTAGCATTACAAAATAACTCTTCATAAAACATGATCGCTGTTCATGAAATTTATCAAATGTTAGCTCTAGGTCTTGGACAAGTTCCTAACTATACAGGTAAAGAAACACCAAATGAATACATATAAAAAATTACAAATATTTTTGAATCTGCTAGTGCTGTAATCACAGCCACTAATAATGCTAATGCAAATACTTTTGTTGATGCTCAGAAATGTGATATCTTAAAATCTAAAATGGGGAATAAATTTTCTCCAGTAATAGCAAATGATTCCTATATAGATGGTAATCCTACTATTAATTCATTCGTCATATTTACAGTTTAGTTTCAGCATAAATATCGAAAAGTGATGGCTAGAAATGCAGAATTAGCTTTACAATTACTGATATAAGAAAGGTTTAACCCAGCTGATTCTCCTGATGTTTACAAATCTAGAATCTGAAAACATATAGTAGGTTTTGCAGATAATCAGATATTACTAGCATTATATACTCATTTACCTTCAGATCTTTGTAATAGTATGAAAATTTATATGATCATAAGAGGCTGGTAACAAAACTGTAGATAATTTCTTTGCTGATCTTAGAAAGTGTTGGGTAGAATGTTAAGTTAGACCAAATATGTTTTCTTAGAACTAAATTCAACCCCAAATTAGTTATCAGGAAGCTACTTTGGCTGATTTTGAAAAGTTAAATTCTAAAATAGCTTTTTTGAAGGCACAGTTAGCGAAATCAATGCAGGTGTATTCTAAACTTGTCCAACATTTACAGCTACCAGAAAATGTAGTTAATTTGAATAATACTTCAATCTTTGATAGTTATATTAATCAAGAATTGGAAAAAAAATTAGAAGTAATTGAAATTAATTTAGCCAAACTTACCAAACTTGTAAGAGAAGATATCAAATTAGTCTAGTATTAGTGTTCAGAATTCTCAGACCATAATAATGAAGGATTAGAAAAAAGATTAGAATGAATTGAAGCTTACTTAGCTAAATTTGCTAGAAAAGAAATCAGAGGTGCCAAAACACCTTAGCATTAACGTTTAGAATCCTTACCTTTTAGAGGATTAGAAAAAAAATTAGGACAAATTGAAGCCTTATTGGCTAAACTTGCTAAAGATTTCAAATTCAGAAGTGGTTGAGTTCATATGGCTATAGTAGATAAACAGTCTGATCCCATTTTCTCTGATGATGATACATCAAGACCTGAGGATAATGATTATAACTCTGATAATTCATCAGCCAGTTCAGACTCTAAAAATCATGATATAAATATTTATATAAGTCATAGAAATGAAAAAAAAGTGAATTACGCTGAGCAACGTGAATATTCTGATAAATCCTCAGAGTCTAAAGTTTCTAGTAAATCTGAGCTTAATAAGGTAAAGCAAGACAATAATTTGTCTTCCGCTAAAGTTGGTACTGTAATTAAAAAGTTGCAATTTATAAGTTATAATTACTAATTACAACTTTTTAAAAATTTAACTAAAATTGCAAC